TGGGGGGTGGAGGGGTGGGGTGGTAGTGGGGTGGAGTGGTAAGGGAAACGTTTCTTTGATTATTATAATATAATAATCATGAAAATGGGTTTTATTGGATGAACGTGAGCCGTCTGGATAGGACATGCCATTTAATGTTGTGGACACGTGTTAGCCTGGGGTAAGGGAGGGAAAAAGTGAAACGGCTCATTGGAGACAGTCTGTATGGTGCCAGGCGCGTGGTTTGAGTGACGTCATGAATTATTTGAAATGAAGAGTCATTCCAAATAATATCTTGGTGAAGACGTTTCAAAAAAAATTTAAAATCTCATCTAATTGTAAGATTAATACTAATTACGAAGTTTTGGTCTTCTAAAAACCCTTGGTGTATAGTTTTTAGTCACAAAAGCTGCAATTTTGTATAAACTTAAAAATGGTTTTCAATTAAGATGAGTTTTATTTTAAAATGTATTTTCATGGAACCAAAGGAGCTCTGGTTTGCATGACAAAGTGGGTGGGTAACCAGAGGAGCTCTAGTTATGCATGACAAAGTGGGTGGGGGAACCAGAGGAGCTCTGGTTGTAATGTCGATGAAGACAAGTATAAATGTTGGATTTGCTTGATGTAGAGACTTTGGTTAACAAACCAGAGACTCTGGTGTAATGTAGCAATCCATGTTATAAAACCAGAGGAGATCTAATATTATAATTATATATAGCATTTTGTGTGGCCAGAGGCTCTGGATAGTAGGACCAGAGGCTCTAGATGGAAAATGCAAGTTTACAAAAGTAAACTTTTGCTCCCTCTCAAATGATGCATATTGATTTAAAATCAAAGATGCACCCTCACTTAGAAAAAAATGAGATAGAGGCTCTGGTCTTAGAACCAGAGGCTCTGGTTGAGAATGATGAGGAAAAAATAATATGAAATTTGGTTAAGTATGAAAATGAAGAATGGATGAGTCTTTGAGACCAGAGGAGCTCTGGTTGCAAAGACTTTGAATCCAGAGGCTCTGGTCTTTAGAACTAGAGGCYCTGGTTGTGAAAGATGATGAAATGAAGGATGAGATGAAATGAATAAGACATGGTTTGAAAGAAGCTAAAGATCCAGAGGCTCTGGTCCTTGGAACCAGAGGTTCTGGTTGAAAAGGCACACTTAATCATAAATTGATGATTTTAGCGCTTTAGGACCAGAGGGGCTCTGGTTTCAAAGGGGAAAGAATAAGATTTGAAAGCAAGGAATGGAGTCCAGAGGCTCTGGTCTTTAGAACCAGAGGCTCTGGTTGGAAAAAAAAAATAT